ATGCCGAGGTACTTAATATTTTCTTCATTTCCTTTCATACCTTTCTAGGCTTCATGCTTTTCCTTTCGGTTTCTTCTGTTGGTCATCATCTTGGTTCCGTAGCGATTCTTGTAGTTTAAATCATTCTTGTTTTTACGATGTTTAAGGTGTAGGCACGGGTATTTCCATGTTGTGAACAATGATTACACCCATTGGGTTATGTATGCGATTGGCGGGAGTGCTAACCCTACTGTCAACAGCCAAGGCAATCGATTCCTTGCCCCAGCAAATCGTTTTGCTAAAGAGGTATGCAATGAATTCTTGTATCTAAGGTGACGAGTTCTTTCTCCAGTGTCCTGAAACAGTTTAAAACCTCCTAGCTCGATACTCGTTAGACATATGCCCTTTCTGTTGGAATAAAGAACACAAGTGATAAAGTGAAGTTATCGAGTTGAGGATGTTGGAACTAAATTGGGAAGGTTAACTCCAATCAGCTCCAATTTTCCTAGATTAGCTCCAACTTCCTCAACTCGAGAATTTCACTTCATCACTCGTGTTCTTTATTTCAATGCTTTCTTTCTTTGCGATACAAAAGTGGCATGACGAGGCAGAATCTAGATCGAAAATGACATATGTGGAAACTATATTGGCAGGTGACAAAGAGGGTCGGAGCGGGAAAAGGAGAATGGAAGCAATGGAACTGGAGATCACAGGGAGACCTTATGCTCAACGGCGCCTACTTCACTTCATCCGGATCCAGAGCTTCCGCAAACTATGCAAGGGCATCGAGCTTAGCGGCCAAGTCATCTTCCCTTATAGGTACCCTTACTTACAGCTCTGGTGCCCTCAAGTGCAGAATTGGTAGCCGCTGTTAATACAAAATGCATGATTCCGATACACGACATATACAGTTGAAGAACGATACAGGGAAACGATGAAGAAACAGAACTCGTTCTTCAAAACCCTGTTTTACGGTTTATATGTTTCTCTTGTTCGGGTTTTTCACTCTTCCATTTTCATACATGTATCGACCTCGGCCACACCTAGAGCCGTAGTGTTGTTTCAGCCTGCAAAATTTGTAGTATAGTACCATGTAAAATACACATTCTTCTATCAATCTAACGCCTCTATTTACTTTGAATTCACTCTACTCTTTGCCCTTTTCTCGATTCAAGATTAGGTTTTGGTTTGAACTGCTTCCATTACAGCGATCACAGCAAAGAAAAACGAGATTCAGGTGAGGGAATACATGCATAGAACAAGCAGAAAAAAACCCGGTACCAGACAGAAAACTTAGCCTCAGAACGGAGTTTCTGCTTCGCTCCTGGTCTCGGTAGGGCTGTACAGAGCAGACCGATTCCTCGGCCTGTTCTCCTCCAACTGTCTGACAACCTCGTCCATGGTCGGTCTAACTGACGGTACTGGAGCACAGCAACCCATTGCAAGCTTCAATGCCTGAACCAGACCCTCTTCCAATGGACTCCTTATCCCTTTCAACACCTCCATGTCAAAAAGCTCCATTGTTGTTTCCTCCAACACTGCAACTTTAACCAGTGCAGGTAAATCCATAAACTCAACATTCCTCGTGCCTTTCCCCGGCTTTTTCCCCATCAGAATCTCCAGCAAAAGGATGCCGAACGCAAAGACATCGGTTCTCGGGTTGCATTTCTTCATCTTGTGGAGCTCGGGTGCTTTGTACCCATCGGATTTCGCCTGTGAGATTATGTCGTCGGCTATAGACGGTACCATCAACTTGTCCAGACCAAACTCGGTGATCCTGGCAAAGAAAAAGTCATCCACAAGCACGTTTTTCGATCTGACATTCCCATGGATGATGGGTACTTCTTGTCCCGTGTGAAGGTACGCAAGCCCTCGAGCTATTCCCAGCACGATCTTGTGTCTCCGAGCCCAGTTCAAAGCCGGTTTTCCCGGTGCACTTTCTGCAAATGAGACCAAGAAAACACAATTAGCCAAAGAACCATAACCCTAAAATTTACTTTTACAGAGTTCAATCAAGCATCTCAAGCAGAGATTGTCTATAAACTCACTAAAGTTACTGACTTTTCCATCCGATATCGTGGCATAAACAACGGTAAGGACTATCAATGGCTGTGTATAAAGATCAATGGAAAGAAGATGGATGAAAAGTTACATGTACCGTGTAACAAATCATGGAGGCTTTGGGTGGGAAGATAGTCATAGATGAGGAGTTTTTCTCCTCTCTTCCCCTCATAGAAACCCCTCAAAGGAACCAAATTCTCGTGCCGAATCCTTCCCAGCTGCTTGATCACAGGCAAGCAAGCACTCCTGTCCTTGCAGCAGCTACCTTCTCTCAAGAGCCTCAAGGCAATCGTCCCTCCATCACTAAGCTTAGCCTTGTAGACAGTACCATAACTTGTCTTCTCCATCACTTGCCCTGTTGCATTCAGTACATCTTCCAGTGTCAGATGCTCTCCGCCATGGAACACAATCAATTTCCCTTCACCACCATCTTTATCACTGTTTTCAATCTCCTCTGCTTCTTCTAAATCGTCTTCTTCACTGTCTATCTCGTTCTTTCTTCTCTTGTTCTGCATATACCCTATCAACAACGAGGCTACAACCACGGCCCCAGTCATTAAACCGATCACAAGACCAGCAATGCCGCCTGGGCTCAGCCTAGAGGAACCAAGACAGGGTCTTAGAGGCAATCCACAAAGGCTAGGGCTGTTCCCTTGGAAAGCTTCCGCCCCAAACTTTGATCCACCAAAATTTGGCAACACCCCACTGAAGTTATTGTGTGAAAGGTTGAGCCTTTCGAGTTTCAATCCAGCCAAACCCTCGTGGACAGGACCCTCAAACACATTGCTCGAAAGATCAAGATCTTTTAGGCCTTTGAATCTGGTTATAAACTCAGGGAAACCACCGGTGAACTTATTACCACCCAAATCAAGAACTTGCAGATTGTCACAAGTAGAATCTGGCAAAGCAGGTTCAGGCAAGGTCCCAGAAAGCGAATTACCATGTAGCCTGAAGCTGACAAGCTTATCACAGAGGTTCCAAACCGATGGAGGCAAGACCCCAGCTAGGGTATTACCGCTCAAATCAACATCAGACAGAGAAGAAGTGTAACCAAGCTCGAGAGGGACCGACCCAGTTAAGGAATTGATGTTTAGGAACAGGCTCTGAAGCATAGAGAACTCACCGATCTCCCGAGGGATTGAACCAGTGAGATTCGCAGAAGGGAGCTGTAAAGAGAGAAGATGAAGAGACGTGTCCTTGAAAAGAGAGAGGTTGGTCCACTGTGGTGAAGAGAGGTCCGTACAGTGAAGCGGAGACCCATCTGAAAATAACCATTTTACCCCTCTCCATTGACAGACAGGAAGTGATGAGTTCCATGAAGACAAGAGTAGATTGTCGCTGTTGCCTTGTAGTGAAGGCTTGATCTTTCCCAAGAGAATCTTCATATCCGATGATTCAGGGGAAGAAGATGAAGTGTCAACACCAAAAGTTAAGGAAAACCCATGGAAAAGTATCAGAAGGAAGAAACAAACATGAAGAAATCTCAACGCAGCCATGGAAAACTGCTCGAGATCGAGAGAGAGAGGGGAAAGGTGAAGGCTTTGGGTTTTTGCTGTAGAGGGAGAGGGTGTTGAGTGTTGACCATTTTGTAAGCTCTTCGGTCAGACATTTCAACGGCTATGATTGTATTGAATCTCCACCGTTGGATCTGCCAAAGTTGGAGTCTTTTATCAGAAAGTAAGACGATCCAACGGCTATAACAAATCGAGGAACAACAAAGGACTTCAAGTGCACTGATTACTCCTAATTTTATAAAGCTACCTTTTTCATAAAACCCTAATTGATTAAATTATCAGCACGCTCACCATTCGTTTACAGAGATTTTATTCTAATCAAATTCTTTTTTTAAAATTTTTTTTTTTCTTTGTCTCACTTTTAATTATTTTTCTGTGACAGGATGCCTACAAGCATCATCTTTTCAAGTCTTTTGAGGGCTGGTTCATGGGATGTTCGATGTTCCTTGAATCTCAACCGTACACGTGTCACGACAGACACGCGATTGACAAAACCAACGGTGGTAGATCGTGAGGGTGCAGAATCTCTGACGAAGTCAAGTTTCCAGACGACATTAAAAGGTATATTAAAATTCGTATATGAAACAATTTCAAAACATTTGATTAAAATTAACAACAATATAATTAAAGACCGTATATAAAATTGATATTATTGTGACACATTTCAGTGTATTTATTTATCAAATTAAAATTTTGATATATTTTTTTTGACACATTTTATAGAATTCAAATATTGTTACCGGAATTTCCCTATTTTCATTTTTATTATGCATGTGCAAAAATAGCAAACATCATTCTGTAAAGATTTCATTCATGCAAAACAAAACACACAAAAACATCAGAATCTGTGATTGATTGAGAAATGGGCAACAATGTTACATCTTTATCAACAGATGCAACTGTTTCAATCCCACGCCCTGTCCTGTCCCAAAAACACTAAGTACGGAGAATGATCCACGAAATCAATCTCACGCAAAACCCTTCATGATTTTCGGCCCAAAAATGGTTTCTAATCTTGAACCATGTTCCCCAATTGGCAAACCAAACCGGTTTGGTTAAAGTATTGGACACTGATCGTACCGATTCCAAAACCGGTTTCTATAAGTAAAGACTAAAACTTTTACTGGAGATCCAAGTGAAACCCTTAGATTATGTAAATCAGATATCCAATCCATGGAGAGTTCACAATATGTATGTAACTATATATATATATATAACAATGGAGATTTTTTAATCAACCCTAAAAATACCATATGAGAATCAGATCATTTGAAAAGGGGGGGAGGTGGTTTACTTGTACTTGTCCATGATTTTCCTTGCTTCATCAAGCGGATCTTCCATTGGCTCGGAACCGGAACTACTTCCTCCTCCCGGTCTCGGACCATCACCTTTGTTTAGGGCTATGAACAAAAAGTATGCAAATCCCATTGTACCCTGCAACATTAATGGGCTTAGATATGAAGAACCTTTACCGGTAGGGTTTTAGGGTTTAGGGTAAATTCTAAATCCAAACCAGCACAACCTAAGTTGCTTCGAGGCTCGGTCAGTTTCTAGCATGAAATGTGGAAACCCTAAAGTTCTGACCGACAAGTTTATCGACTTTTTGCCTAAGGGAGGAAGATAGGGAAATGATTTATGGATGGCATACCAACACGAAGAAAGCCGTCGACAGGAATGACTTGAGAACAAACAACGAAACCATCGAAGCGGCAATTGTTACCGAAACTCTGGCCACGGGCCTCGGTACAGATTCCTGAAAACCACAAGGATGAAGCAGGTACCAAGTCTAGTCAAAACCCTAGTCTCGATTTCCGGCAAATATTACATTTCAAACAAGAAGATGATCTTACAGGTATAAGGTTGGTTCCAGCCTCAATTCCATCTCTTCCAATGTTCCATGCTGTTCTAAGAACTGTTTCATGAACTCCATTATCACACATTTGCGATTCAAAAGGAGCACCTTAATGACAATAGTCACATACCCTCATCCTCTAATCACTCCTCAATAGAGAAGAGGAAACTTTCTCGGACGTTTTCTCGCAGTTTCCCACCAACCAAACAACCTATTTCAGAACCTCTCATCATAAATCCAAACCAATTTCACACCTTGAACCATTGTCACCATCCCTAACACCAAAATTCTTGCTTTAGGGCAGTTCTCGAAAACCCATTTGATCAATTTCGTGAACCACCAATCAAACCCCACCGATCAATTCACAATAAACGACGATTTACAACATCAGAAAAGCTCGAGAAAACGAACCTAGCAACAAAAAAGTAGGAAGAAATGTAGAATGGAACCAAGCAGATGGGTCGAAAGACGAACCTTTCATGAAATTGGACTGCACAGACAAAACGACGGTCCTCGAGCGAGCTCGTCGAGTCCCGAGGGGAGAAAAGCGGATTCCCGAACTGTGAAAAGGCCGATGCTTTAACCTCAGGACAGAACATGGTGAGAGATACAGATAATTAGATATATGGGTTAGCGTTTGATTGAATTTTGGAATGGAAGACGAAGGGTTTAGAGAATTAAGAGCATAAAGGGAAGAAGCCATGGCATAAGGACTTGGAATTCTGCTTAAACTCGAACAATGGAGAGAGAGAGAGAGAGAGAGAGAGAGAGAGAGAGAGATGGGGGAGGGGAGATAGCAATGGTCCTAATGTAAATATGGCCCAGTGAGAACCATGTAATTGGATGGGTTGGGTCCATTAGAAATATCATTATACGTTAACAATTTTTTTGAGGAAAATTTTTTAAAAAAATACCCAAGTTTATCCAAATCTACCGTATGAATACCCCAATTTTTAAATTGTTAAATAAATAGATCAAATTAATCAATTTATACTATAGAAATATTAAGTTGATGACGTTATTAATCGATAACAACGTCGATTTGTATTAAATAGATACCAAATTTATATTTGTTTGGTACAAATTTCTAAATTGGAATATTTTAATTTGTAAATTAAGATATTTATGTGTTACATTTGAACAATTTGAGATATTTTCATGAAATTTTCCCATTTTTTTATACTCGAAGTCGAAGAGTATTATTCAGCAGAATTTTTCTTCAAAGCTACGTAATTGGAACGTCATATTTTTCTTGAACGATCCTCAGTTATAACAATTCAATTTTTAACAACATCGGCATATGAATGTTCATAATATATATATATATATATATTTGCCAGAGGAGTTTTCTGATACATTTTCATAGAAATTTGTATATTTTTGGGTCACTATGAATGGGGCATTATCAAAAATACTCTTACTTTGGTATTTCTACTTCAACATTTATCATTTTCCAATTGTGACCATGTGACCCAAAATATAGTGTGGTCACATGTCGATCTCATTGCTTATAACGTTAAATTTATAATGTTTTAATCAAATAATTAATAAGATATACAATATATGAACATAATGAATAAGTGAGATCAACAAAAATTTAATGTTATAAACAATAAAATCAAAATGTGACCACACTATATTTTGGGTTATATGGATCACATGGTCACAGCCGGAGAATGGTATATGTTGAAGTAAGAATAGTAAAGTAAGTGTATTTTTGATATAATGTCCTATAAATGTATCATTGCTCATAACGTTAAATTTTGTATCGAACGACTTCTATCTTCGATACGAAACTCCCCAACATAGACAAAAACCGCAACAGCTTTCCGCTTTGTATATGTGTGAACTCTCCAAACACGACACTTGATGAGAAATGAGAGACTTCGTCGATGTAATAAGCTCGAGAACAAACATGTTTATACCAATTATCATTCGTTTTACCCAACTTGGATAGTTCAATCGATAAAATATAGACACAAAACGTTTGTTCTGTCCCGAGTTCGAATCTTAAGTTGAAGAGGAGATCATAATTCCAATCAGCCATCTTACTCCCAACCTCGAAATTAGTCTGGGTCTCGATCCAAAACTTCCGATTACCTAAAAAAAATTATCGTCCGTTTAAAAAATATATATATTCTGATTTAGGACGGCTATGCGTCGGGTGTCCTAATCTTTTAGAGGAATAAAATGGGCTGGTCCGGTCCAACCCAGCCCGTTTCGTTCCGATCTGAAAATTTTTTAACTCAACCTAACCCAACTCATTTTTTAACGAGCCAAAAATATATCATCCTAATTCATATCGTTTTAGTCCACTAACCAAATATATAAATTTTTAAAATAAAATTTTAATACTAAAAAACATTTTAAACTAATTTTAAAAATATTTTAAAATATACAAAAATATTAAAATTTTAAAAAAAATATATATTTTTTTTCTGGCCCGTGAACTAGTCCGGCTCATAAAAATATGGACCGACTTGTGAACTAGCCCGCGATCCGTGGCTCGTTTTACACTCCTATCATTTTTAAATTACCTGCTCTCGTCTTCCTCTTTGCATGTTTTGAAAAAATATTATCTCATTTTTCGTTTTCGTGAAATCTAAATACCCATGATTTGGGTATCGGTCTCTTAATTCAATTATCCAAAGGCACCTTAAACCCGTCAAAATCTTTAAAAAAAAAACATCGATTTTTGTTGATTTCGTAGATATTTTGGTGATTTTATTTAACATATTTAGATATCATTGGTAAATACATTCAAATATCAAAGATACAAACGTTCTTTTATTCATATCCGGTATTCGCGGATAACCCACAGTCCGGATTTTTTACTTCGCCGTACCCATCTTCCGTGCCCAAAAACTCATGGATCTTACGTATCCGCACCCACCCCTAAAATCTGACCAAGTTCGAACTTTTCTTGCTTGGGTTAAATGCCGTTTGGATACGATGAAAATATTGGTAATTAACAACTACTTATTATTACACACAAGGACAATTCGTTAAGTACATTATATAAACATCAACAAAAAGGTGGTAAACCATACAAAACATATATATGAGCCGAATCCACAACACCATTCAACCCGTTACAACAAAAACTATATAATATAATCTCTTCTTATAAGATACACACAACCAGCCACCTTCTCTAGAATTTAATTATCTACAAAACTCGGAAAACTAACACGAAATATAACAGATTCCACGATCAATATCCAGAGAAAATTAAAAAAAAACGCACACCTCGAGAAAGACTGGCTTTTTGACCGCGACCACCCATTTGGCAACGGGATCCCATGCATGCATGAGAAGTGGCAATCCCACGTACGTCCACCATTCTCTCTCTCTCTCTCTCTCTCTCTCTCTCTCTACTTATCTTCTTTTCTTGGTTCATAATCTACGTTTCATTTAGCCGGCTGAGAGGCTGATGCAGCCACTGCATTAGCGGAAGGAGAGTTATTATTGTTGTTGTTGTTTCTCTGCGATTTGCTTTGCCTCCTCGCCGACGGCGTGGTCTCCGGCTTCGGCGCCGGCGGCTGCCTCACTTTCACCCCACGTATCAACTGTTGATTACACACATATATATACGTGGAATTAAAAAACCATATGGTATACACCACAAATGAAATTGGAATTAAGAATATATATAGTAGAAGTGATTAACGACAAAGCTTACGTATTTTCCACACTTGATGTCCGAATATATGACTATGAAATCTCCTTCTCGGAGTCCATTGGTTTTCACAAAATCACCTACAAAGCACAAAAATAAAATAAAATACATTAATTTTGACGGTAAGAATTTAAATGAATTTATCAAAAAAATTAAATGAATAAATGGTTTGATGATGGGTTTTTCGACATCTTACCGGTGTTCTCGAGGAGATACATTCTGCTTTTGTTGTTGGGCCAAAACCTGCATATCCCATTTTGGATTAATTAAATAAAATGGAAATAAGGGACCAATTATCGAAATTGGATTCCAAATTCTCAAGAAAGTGAAAAGTAAAAAATAAAAATAAAAAGTAAATTTACCTGTAGCGCATGTTCCAAACACGAGAGGTTCCGATGTCTTCCATGGCTATGGAAATGCCGTCTCTTGCCTCTAGCTCCGGCAAGTGGGTTTCTGCCTCTTTCTGTGATTCAAACAAATTATAAATTATAAATCAAATCAATTAAAATGCGAAAACAAAACCCTAACGATGAAAATTGTCGAAATCTTTTGTTACACCTCAGAAAACTGTATCATATATATTTATTATACACCAAGAGAATGGAATAATTTTTTTTTTTTTAAAAAAAGTGGGTTTACTTTTGGTAACACGATTCTTCCGAGGTTGCCCACGTCGCTTTGCTTCAACACTTTCTGCAATAGAAACCGCAAATTCTTCTCCGGTTTCCAACCCTGACAAAATTTAAAACCCCCCAAAAACATCAAATCATTACCATAACTATGTTTTAAATTACAATGCCGGGTCCAAACCAATACAAACTTGAGCTAATAAAGGAAAACAAAACACGCCTATACATATACATATACACTTATATATGTACCTGCCGGCGATCTGACACCACCTGATGGCGGCGGCGGACCCCCCTCTCTCCGCTGCCGAGGCTTGGGACTCCACCGCCGGAATGTTAGGCCAATACATCCAGCCACCAGCCGTGGCGGCGTTAAGCGGAGGAGCAGCCCCAACCATCGTGCATGTCTCTCCAGCTCTTGCATGTTCACCGAACTGGTTCTGGTTCATGTTTTGCTGGCTGCCATTGTTGGCGTTGTTACCGTGCCGGTGGTGGTGAGACAAGAACCTCCTCTGTCTCGCCATCCGCTTCTTCCTCGCCTCCTTTGTCGCCGAAGAACACAACCGGAGCAATCTCTGGTCTCCCACTACTTGTCCATGCATGTACGGATACGAGTACGGATTGGGCACATATCCAGCGAAGCCATGGTCCGGGTACGGGTTGAACTGCGCGTTCGTCATCGGGAACTGGTTTGTCGGTAGCGGCTGCGGCTGGGGAGCGGCCCATGACGTTGTGGGTTCGAGTAAGTGATGGTAGTCCGGTTGTGGCTGCGGCTGCGGCTGCGGCTGCGGCGGAGGAAGATAACTCGGCGGAGGAGCTCCGCCGGGAAACGCCGGAGAGGGCATGTATCCGTAATCGGAGACGAATCCCGGATTCGGATTCGGAGGAGGGATCCATGGTTGAGACTGATTATGAGGGAAACATGGGGTTGGAACCGGATCTTGCGGTGGGATTAAAACACTAGGGTTAGGGTTTTGATAGTAGTACGGCTCGTGGAACGGCTGCTGCGGTTGCATCTGCGGTGGCGTTTGCGGCTGCGTTTGATAAGAGAGAGTTGCGCTGTTGCTGCAATTGTTGCGCCTTTTCTGCAGATGATTTGTTTGGACCCATTCAAGAATAAGCTTCAACAGCTGCTTCATCGCTTCCTTTCCGCCGCCGAGTCGTCTGGCCGCTGACTCGATGGTCGCTTTCTTTATCTTAACTTTCCTCAAATCCTCAGCCGACACAGTCTCTTTGTTGTTCTTCAGCCACTCCAAGAACACAGACGCGAGATCCTCGTCTTGTTCCAACGACAGATTCAGCCCCATCTCTTCATTATTTTGCATCAACGAGAAACCCTCTTGTTCAGGAAGAGGAACATCGAGTTCTCTGTCCTCTAGGGTTTGTGGGCCGACCAAACTAGGGTTTCCAGCTGGAGGTGTGGCTTCGTCGTGGTTAAAAATGGCCGATGTGTCGAAGAAATCGTTGCTGTCGAGCAGATCCATGTAACCAAACGTCTCCATCATGTCGATGGTACACTCGACGTCGTCCGTAACGCCTTGGTTTTGCGCCGGAATCTCCATCGACGCCGTAGACTGTAACGCAACCGCTGCTCCGACCGATGCATCCGCCGCTGAATTATTCTGATTCTGATTCGGAGGATCCTCACCGTCCGATTTCAATATCGCCCAGGATGCGGCCGACGACGAGGAAGAAGCCGAAGATTTCGAAGAAGCCGAGGAGAGGATTGTGTTGACGGGAGCCGGAGACGTCGAAGAAGAGGAAGACGACGACATGCATGGAAAATCCGGCAGTGACGGAAGATCTTCGTAGAAGATGGACGAATCCTGAACAAGCAAATCGTCGTCTTCTTGAACATGATGATGATGATGATGATGATGATGATGATGGTCATGGTCTTGATCATCTTCACCGAGCCAGATCTCTCCCCCGACATCAACATCGACGACATCCTCTATCATAACGTCGTTATCGGCAGTTTCTCCGGCGAGTATTCCGCCGCAGTCCTCCGCCAGATCTCCGCCTTGCTCCGCCTCATACAGGTGCTTCATATCGGTGTATGTACGTACGTACTCCGTGGAAATATATCGGAATGAGATGAAAAGCTTTGATTTTTATGGAGGGAGAGAGTTAGGGTTTTGTGTGGTGCTTTGTACGGACAGATAGGGTTTGTATGCGAGTCAGGAAGCAATAAAAGGGAGAACCCCAACTTGGATATATAAAATCTAATCCCCAAACTCAACTCAACAGTACACAGAAACAACATAAAACCATCTGGGCCGCTTCTATATATATATGCACCATATGCATATATATGTACTTCTATATATATGCACTATATATATATAATCTCCAGGATCAAAAAAGAGGATCTATATATATGTAACACGAAGAAATCCGATCAAAGTCACTCCCATCAACATCACAAGATCTTCATCTATCGAAAACCAATCATTTGGTCCAAAAAATCCCTTGCATGGATCTAAAAGCAAAGATCTTTTTTTTTATGGGTCTTTTTTTTTTTGTATCTATGGAGGATTTGGCTAAAGAGGAAGAACCGAAGAAGACGGCCGATATGAAAACCGTCTGTTTTGATCGGAGGAGGGTGATATATACGATGAGTTTCTTTGTTTTACTTTTTAAAAATAATATTATGGAAACTACAGTAATTAATATATATACGTGTAACGATGAATTACATCATTAAATGGTTAAAATGAGTGGGAAAACCCCGAGAGAAACCCCGTGTGTTCCAGTTTGTTCCACGATGTCAGTTTTTTATTTGTTAATTTTTTTAAGAAAGAAAATAAACTGCTATAATATAATGTAATTGAAACCCTAGTTTCTGGAGATAAGTTCAAAATTGGTTTAGGGTTTTTTTTTTCTGTTTCAATTAATTCGATGAAAAGCAAAAGGAGAGAGACAAGAGTTTTAAGAAAAAGAGATGTAACAGTCTTTCTACGTTTTGAATTTTCAAAGAAGACAAAAGAGCATTTAAATTTCCTCTGAACCATTTATATAGAAAGTCTTAAAAATACAGAAAAATGGTAGAAAATTACTGGGATTTAGTGAAAGATTAAAAGAAAATTTGGAGAATTATAACTTATTGAGGATTTTTGGTTGTTTTTTAAAATTTTGAAAACTAACCATTTTGAGGAACCCATTAACTGTAAGAAAAACATTTAAAACGAGGTTCTAATTTTTTTTTTAAAAAAAAGTATCAACCCTAATATGAGAAAAGGGTATAAATACTACTAATTAATGTTCAAAATGACTTTGGAAACCATAAAAGACATTTTTTTTAAACAATTTTAATACATTTTTTCTATTTTTAACATTGAATTTGGAAACTAGTGATTTAATTGTCACTCACCCAACAGAAAACCTTGATTTAGCTTACTTCCTGTATGCATTCAAAGTTTTTTTTTAAAAAAGAAGAAGAAGGATATATCAATTGATACGAGTAAAAAAAGGATATATAAATATATATATCCCCATTTGTCAATAGATCGAATTTTATGTTGTAAAATTAAAAATGTTACAATACAGTCTACACTTCCTACCATACTAAAATCCCAAAAAATGAGATTTTTAATTACGAAAATAATCCAATTTAATTATTTTGTGGTTTTACCATCAAGTGCGTGTAGCGATGACGTTGATTTTTCCCTTTAGAACAACTTCAGTGCTCAACCGCGTAAAACTCGGATCAATTTATAAGAATATATATTTCCATTTTGATTATATAATATATAGTTTTTTTGTTAGCAGATAAAAGAAGAGAGAGAGAGCGTTCGTGCCTTGTATGCGAAGGGGGCAGTGGTGTTTGTGCCCACGCGCCATACGCTCGACGTTGAATGGTGAAACCAAGCGGTGGCTTTTAACAAATATATCTCCGTCTAATTTCAATTTCTTTGTAAAAATATGTTTTTTTAATCAATTTTGAATTATATCTGCTCTGGATTTTGAGAGACTTATATGAATTTTCTAGTGTGAAATCAATGGTGACTAGACGTTGAAACCATGGTTTGAATGATGATTATACGTATAATTAAAAAAATGAATATAATAGGAAATTTTTGTTTATTGTTTAAAAACAAATAAAAAAGTTTTTTTTGTTAATTTTAATACGTAAATATAATTTGAAGAAAGTGAAATGAATTGAGTCCATAATGATTTTTGGCTATTGTTGGCATGAAATTTGTTGTTGGTGAAAGTTCATAGTACCTTGTTGTTTTGTTTTGGATTTGGATGTATTGTCGGGAAAGTAACAAAATCTGACATTTTATTTAATCACTTATCAAAATCAGTTGAGATTCTTTTTGTCATTTTCACATACGCCAAATAAAATGAAAACAATATTTTTTTCTTTTCATTATTTTTGCTAGAAAATACCTTTTTTCGAATTAAACAAGTTAATTTGGTTTACGAGAGAGCGATATACTATAACCACATATTCGTCATGATATACTATATTTTTCTCGCAGGTGATTGTTTGTGTATATGTGTGTGTGTATATATATTATTTTATATAAAAATATATGTAATATATATATATATATTAATATATATATATATAACAGATTAATGATAATCCGCACACGTAGAGATAAGAATCGAATTCCTGCACTTACGTGTAGAGGAATTACCGGGTTAAATAGCGGTCCATGAATTCAATCACCTTTGTTTTTTTTATAATAAAAATATTTTCATTCATATAAATTTCGAGATTTTATAACATAATTAATATTCGGTATTAAGATATTTTAATTATTCTTTCTTCCATATGGTCTTTAATTTGAATCCACTTGCTTTTGGAAAAATAAAAATGAATTAGGACCCAACCGTCATTCGTTTGACCAAAAAAGCGCTTTCATGCAAAAATATCACAATATTAATTGATATTTAAAGATTTTAATTTATTGTTCCTCTTTTCGATGTTTTAGCTCAAATACAAATTACGGCCTAAAAATCGTCAAAAGGTCAAACACATATATGGAATATGTAGCATCTCTCTCCGTTTTTTAATAAATACTCCATTTCTAAGAAAATATACAAAAAAAAGTCACACATATATGTATACACCGTAATTATATTTATAATTAAGGATACAATTGTAAATTTTCTTAAAAATCATCTGTAAAAAAATCTAAAACGATATATATTTAATAATAAAAAAGATTATCTAAAATAATATTTATTCGGAGGGAGTATATGTATTTGTAAATTGTAACACGAAAATTCGTGTCTGATTAGAGCAGTGCTAGAGGAGAAAGACATTGCTTGTCGTACGGGTAGTACATCAACAAGAATCTAATTCCATTTTTATGCACACACGAAATTACCACGAATAATAATAATAATAATAATAATAATAATAATAATAATAGTACACGGCCATTGGTTGCACATGTCAAGATTGCAAGACTTTCGTCGTAATTCGTGGTTGAAGCGGTGGAGTGGGTTAATATTCTGCCACGTGTCATGTTTCTGTCTGAAATTCTTCGGCCAATTAAACACATCCCCAGTTTATTTTAAAAAAGATTTCGTTATTTATTTTGGCGATGATACTAATCATTTATCTCATTCTCATTCAGAAGGAAAATGGAATAAAATATTCTGCCAAAGAATAAAAAATGGCGGAAAATTTTCTGAATTTCGTGGTTTTCGGATGTTATAATTTTGGTGTCTGGTATATTTATTTTGGGATAATTTATATAATTTTTTTTAATCTGTTTTAGTTCCGTGGAAAAGGAATCGGTTTGACTCACTTCGAGCCAAGACGGAAAAAAAATTAAAATACCGAAAAAAATCGAAAAACATAATGTCCATACATAGCATGCATGTACACCATGCATAATCCAATCATCGACGTACACGTGGAAGGAATCTTGTGTAATGCATGTAAAGACATAGAAACGCATAATGTAACGCCACGTGGAATTTTGCACAGAGTCTTGCGGCAATGCTTTGCCGTAGCTTATCCCCTTGAATTAGGCTTTCGTCTCTGTGACAGACCGGTTCCCCATTGCTTCCGCTGACGTCTTATCTAATGAGAAATCGCCACGTCGGATTTTGCTCCTCGTTTCCTCGTGCCCTAGGTCATCAAATTTAGTGACAGACAGTTCATAATTTTGTATAAATAAAATATAGAATATTTAGTTATCCTATGTTCGCTCTTTCATTACATCACTACAAACAAAACTTACATAAGGTCGTATATATACACAGAGGATCTTTCCCGAGAAAAATTATAGACCATGGAGAGGTATTTTCTTGTTATTGTATATTCGGTAAGATATATATATTCATTAAAAAAAAGATAGATATATCAACAAATTATATTTGCATCATCATATATATACACTTTACTTTTTGTCAGTTGAAGAATAAAGATACACCATATATATATATATATATATGTTTGTATTCGGGGAATTGCAAAAATGACTTTAAATGTCATTTTTACTTCATAGTATGACCTCCCTTCTTTTTTTAAAAAAACTAACATCATCTCATAACCTTATAATTGTATCCTTCTAAAAATACCCTTCCTTTTTTATTTAATATTTTAATTTTAAAAAATATTTCAACTCTCTCTCCTCTTCCACCTCTCTCTCTCCATTCGCATGTGTGGAACAAACTACAGTCTCTCTTCTTGTCCATTCTATAATCTTCCAACACTCTTTACTTCCAATCTATTTTTCAGCTAATTTATTGTGAAAAGACAATATTAAGTTTGAGCATTTCATCGATTAAATACAAATCTAAATAATAGGTAAATATTGTTTCTAAAATACGTTATTAAATTTGTTGTGAAAAACAATATTAAGTTTGGGCATTTCATCAGCAATACCATGATTCAAGTTATTCTAACTGATCGAAATCGTTAAATATGTAAAATTCATCAAAATGAAAGAATTTGGAAAACTGGTCATACATATATGTCAGAATGGTCAAATTGGTCGTACTTCTAACTGGTCATACTTGTCAAATTGGTCAAAATGATTATTCTCACAAAATTGGTAACACTGGTCATAATCATCAAAGTGGTCAAACTGATCATACTCATTAAATTTATTATATGATATGATTATTACTATGTTAACATTTTTAAAACGATGAATTATGCAATTTTAAACAAGTCTGACCGTCTGACCAAGGTATGACCGTATGACCATTTGATCGTCTGACCATTTGGGTACGAAAAAAATGCATAAATTAAATTTAAACAATTCAAAAAGGTGTATAGGGGTTATAAGAATATTATTACATCATTTTGGAGTTCTAATTTCACGTGGAAAAAAATCTCCCAAGACCAGTCAATTGTATCCAATGTGTTATACAAACACTACTAGTACTTTAGGTCTTCTTTGGAAAGAGTTACATTGTCAAACAAAAAATGTGGTCAATCCATATTGCTACGACAGATTTGAACCTGAAAAATTTGTAATATGATATGATTATTATTATGTTAATACTTTTAAAACGATGAATTAAGCAATTTCGAACAAGTCTGACCGTCTGACCAAGGTATGATCGTCTGATCGTATGACCGTCTGACCATTTGGATACGAAAAAGAAATGT